GTATTATCATTATTTATATGACAATTTATTTTGTTATATTATCATTATTTATATGACAAGTTATCGTTGTATTATCATTATTTATATGACAATTTATTTTGTTACATTATCATTATTTATATGACAAGTTATCGTTGTATTATCATTATTTATATGACAAGTTATTTTGTTACATTATCATTATTTATATGACAATTTATTTTGTTACATTATCATTATTTATATGACAATTTTTTATTTTGTTACAGGCTAAAAAGGTCAACAGATGTAATGTTTGGTGGAAAACTGGTTCTTGTATGTGGCTATGGAGAAGTGAGTTACATTCATCCGAACTCGCATTAAAAAAACGTTCTAGTTAAACTGTTTACTTGCAAAATTACTAGTTTAAAATCAAACGATCTCTAAAGGCTTAAAACTAGATTAGAACCTTGACTTCAAACATTTTATCAAGACCCAGATTAATACATCAAATATTGTATGTAGACTTAAAATTAAGTTAGTACATCAAACGTTCTATTTAGACAGCTCAAACTCATGTTAGTACATAATTTAAACATTATATAGAGACTGTTAAATATCAGAATAGTACATAATTCAAACATTTTATTTAGATGTTAGCTAAAACTGTGATAAATGCATAATTCAGACATTCTGTTTAGACTGTTAAAACTTGGGTATTAGTTTTGAAAGCAAGTCTACTGTAAAGTACCTTCTGTATCTGTTTTACATGTGAAACAGTTTATGTAATTGAGGTTCAAAATATATATAATAATAGATCTATTGAATTTTTTCCAAAAAGTTTTCTAGTGCTATAAAAGAAAAGAGAATTTATCAATTGTTAATTTCTAAGAATCGTAACTGTGCTTACAGAAGATTTTGTTATGCAGTAACTGAATTCTCTTTTGTTAAAGTAAATCTCGGAAAAGAACCTATAATCTTTATAATGTATTAAATCAGGAGGAAGACAAACATTTTATACCTGTTGTTTCTACAGGTGGGTAAAGGCTGTTGTTCTGCCTTGAAAGGCATGGGATCTGTGGTTTACTTGACCGAAATCGACCCTATCTGTGCCCTGCAAGCATGGTAAGCTATATGTAACAGAATGTTGTTGGTTTTCACACTGATACGTTTTACCTCACTAAAATTGAACTTGCTAAAATACATAGCATTGATTGTAAGTAAGCTAACAGGACAGTAGGCTTGATATGATCAATTGTCTTAGTTACTAGGCTGTAATTTCAACAGCTGTCCTGTGAAGTAAATTATATTCTTATTATTTTCTTTTTTTTTGTACTATTAATCTGTTTTGATGTCACTCAAGTCTTCTAGTTCTGATAAGTTCAACTTGTAAGATAATACCAGTGAATCAATGAAATGTAGAAGAATAGAGAGCAGAGATACGAGGTAAATTTTATGTCAGAATTGAATTGAAAGAATAGATGTCAGTTTTGTGAGAATGTTAGGGTTAAGTTTTGTATGATCATCAGTAGTGTGTTTTGTTAGCTAACAGTTGTATTATGACTGTTTAAGTAAATAGAAGTTAGGGTTAAGTTTTGTATGATCATCAGTAGTGTGTTTTGTTAGCTAACAGTTGTATTATGACTGTTTAAGTAAATAGAAGTTAGGGTTAAGTTTTGTATGATGATCAGTAATGTGTTTTGTTAG